AGATGTGATATTCATGTTCAGGAGGTCAAACTACCCCTGGGGACACGTTTTCAGCCAGTTCTGCCTACGGAGAAAAAGTCGGTAAAAAACTGGCCTGATTTCAGCTGATCGGGGCAGTAAAGGGTGGATAGCTCTCAAATTTTAATAAGCTTTGAAAGCAAGTTTTAATATGCTTTTGATGAGCCTCGCCTTTTTTCGTGGAAGAGAATTTTGAAACGACTCGATTTTTTTCGAATTGTTCGCCACATCCTCAGGAAAATGAATACTACTTTTTACGGGCACTTCTAGCATGCGCTTTTATTCGCGTGATTTCGGCATCATTCGGCTGTTATTACCTCAGAGTTTCGAAAGAGCAGTTTTGCTGACCCTTGCCTTTAGAGTTTATTCAGCATCTTGATTACGAATCTTGCAATCGTTTTGACACCGGCGTCATTTAGCGCCATAGACTTTTCATCAGAGTCAATTTCAACCTATTTGCTACAGTTCCAAGACGTCTTCTGCACGATTATTACATCCATTTCGACGCCGGAACACCATTTATGTTTATTTGTAGACGGACACCATTTATGTTTATTTGCTCATTTATGTTGCGGATGCCCAATGAATTTAATATTCGTAATCGTGGCTTGAAAAACCCTTCAGTTGGAATCAATGTGGTTTCCAAACTTGGGGTTGTAATAGTTGAATAAACCACTTTTTGCTATCCACCAAACCTTTGATGCTATTGAAATGAAGGCGCCAAAATTTGCAATTTATTGCACGAAATTTTCAGATGGAAATTCTGATCAAATTATATTATTATTTTGTTAGGTACTCGCTAGCAGACCTGATAAGAAAAGCCGCCTCATCATTTTTATACTTGATGTTGCCATTAGTACTGCTCTGCAACATTGTGAGAAGCTTACTGATAACGTTTTCTAGAGTGAGAGTGTTTTCGTGCCGTCTGCATTTGTTCCACCTAAACTTTCATCAAAACCACTGTTCTTCGACTATTTCCCAACAACAGATGAAATCGGCAAGCGATGGATCCCGAGCACAGCAAAAAAAGATGGTGTAGAAGCGGAAATAGCCAAATACAATGGTTTGTGTTTCTCTTGGATTTTCTGTGGTTTTGTAACTCAAGGATCTTTGCAGGTAAATGGGAAATAGGTCCGTCAACTGAGGTGTCCATTGAAGGCGATTATGGTTTGATTGTCCGTACAAAAGCACGGCATCACGCAATCGCAGCGAAATTAGACAAACCGTTCAGCTTCACTGAAAAACCACTCGTTGTTCAGTGAGTGTGATGAGTTTTTCTTGACCACTATAATAATTTCTCTATTTGTTTTGTTATGATCATTGCTGTTTAACGCCGCAGAAGCACATCGTTGTTGGGGAATCCCCAATAGGGGGGTCGTATTTGGTCGCCAGGAGAGGGGGGTCGTATTTGGGCTGAGAAAAATTTATTTTGATAGTTGATTTTTCTCGCTTCACGGACGTTGTAAAGGGGGAGGGGGGAGGTTGTATGGTTATTGTTTGGAAGGGGGGGGGCGTTAGATATACGTTTGAGTTGTGAGGAGTGAATTTGGTGATTTGGGGTTCGTGTTTCATGTGTACTATATGCCCACCCCTCCCCCTTCCTGGCTCGATTCGATGAGGAGGAACAGAGGGCCGTAGAGGGGGGGGGGTCGTACCAACCCCCAAAAAGGGCGGGGGTCGTACAGACTCGACTAAAATCCCCAACCAATGATGTGCCCTGCTCCGCGCTTCTGAAGGGGGCGGAGGGGGGGGGGTAGGTCAGTTTGGAGTGGTGCCAACCCGCTCTCTACCAATTATTGGAATGATTAAGCGGCAGTATTTGGTAGAAAATGGGCAGGCGCCGCCAAATGTGGCCCTTCTGATATGCCGCCAGTATCCGCAGCGAATAAGACTTCACAGAGATTGGAATAGAGGGAAAATGAGGTGTAGGTAGTGGGACTGAGAAGTCCTTTTATTTTTCGCGTTATTTCAGATATGAGGTTCGTTACGAAGAGGGTCAAGAATGTGGTGGTGGATATCTTAAACTGCTTAGCGAAGGTGCTGAAAAGAATCTTGCTGCAGTACAGGTAAGTCAGCCAGTGTAATCCGAGCATACACTATATCCAGAACTTGAGAACTGTTTTCAGGATAAAACCCCATACACCATTATGTTTGGTCCGGATAAGTGCGGACCCACTGGCAAAGTCCACCTGATATTCCGTTACAAAAATCCTAAGAATAACACAGTTGACGTAGGTTTAAGTAATTTTTAATGCTACCATGCTATACATTTTAATAGCCCGTTGTTTAGGAGTATCATGCAAAACAACCCACTAATCTTGGTACCACCTATTGGGATGATCACCAAACGCATCTGTACACTTTGGTTGTTAAACCAGATGGAGCATTTTCCGTTTCAGTCGACCAGAAGGAAATTATCTCTGGCAACATGCTGAATGTAGGTTTCACTATTGAAGATGATTTTAATCCCGAGTAACCAACACTTTTTTAGGACCTTGTACCATCGTTGCAACCGCCGAAGGAAGTTGCTGATCCTATGGACAAGAAGCCAAAAGATTGGGATGACAGGTGACAGATTTGTAGCTGTTTTAGTTTCTGTTTAGCTTCCATCAAAAGTCGAAGCTATTATATGATATCTCGTATGTTTTTGTTCGAATCCATGTCATTTTTATATAAGTTACTCGAAAAGGCTTCTTAATCGTAACAAATAATGCAATAGTGTTTCTACAGATGTGAGAAATTTTTTGTAGGGCAGAAATCGAAGATGAAAATGCTGTGAAGCCGGATGACTGGGATGAAACCCAACCTGCCGAAGTTGTCGATGAAAGTGCAGTGAAACCATCCGACTGGCTAGAGGATGAAGTACGTTGTATGCGTTTTGCTTTCTAAGTCGTTCATCTTCCATCTTTGCCAAGTGTTGAAAGAAAAGTGTTGGAATAAGAGGAGCCAATGGTTGAAACACCTTGTGACTAGTTTTCTTTTTCCAAAATTTTGTAAATGTTTTCTGCATTATAGTGCAAATTTACAGTATTTCCAATGTGAGTCCAAAATAAGCTTGACGAATGCGGTTGACTTTCTCAGAAAGATTCTTACCGGAAGTCTACCTCGTCAGCAGATTTTAAAATGAAAAAAGCGGAAAAAATTGGGGCGTGGGGCGTGTGACGGGGCATGGATTGGAGCGCCGCTAGGGCAGTCGTCATTATGCAGCGGGCTCAGGGTGGCACCATCGGTGGGAAAAACAGCCTTGGCCTAGCTCCTCTCATCTTTCTTACAGGGATAATGACTGTAGATCTGATCTGAAATTTTGAATACAGGTTAATAAATTTTTCTGCGAATCTATCAGAACTATTCAACTTAAGAAAGCCCCCGCGCTCAAGTCGTACATGGTCGTCTTCCCTTGTGCAAGTAGTACAGCCCCCAAGCTAGAGACTATCCCACTCTCGCGACTCCACAGCGAGCGAGGAGCGAGCTACAGCCGCTGAAAGTTCTAGTTCTAACGCCCGCTCAGTTGGACCGCCCACTTGCTAGATGCCCTCTGACGGAGAGCCGCTCAGTTGTTCTTTGTTGGGGCGGCGGGCATTAATCGGAATTGCATGTCCTTTTGCTGACCGCGCTCGTGCCCATGAATAATTCTGCTCTCCTTTATTACATTTTATTCATTAGGAGCACATACAGTCAACTCCAACCCATCTCGCAAGGTAAAACGCGTAAAAATCACGAGCGACCCAATTTTCGTGGTGCAAAAGCTCGACGCACTACACTACACTAAAATATGCACGCTACCGTAACCCTAAATTCGGACGCCGAGTTTTTGAAAGTTTCTTTTCCTTTTCAAGAGTTCGTCTGCGTTCGCTAGATGATATCCACTACTGGGAG